AAATTAATGAAAATAAAACCTTAGTGATCTATCTATAATATTATTTAAGAAAGACAACTCTTTTGTTTTGTGCATCAAATTTTTATAAATTCACACTTTCAAACCAAAATAAATATCTTTGCACTTGCAAAAAACAACAAAAAAGCCCAACACTGTAAAGAATCAATGTAGATGCTCTTAGCGCAAGTGCAGCAAGCTCCCAGTTGGGAGTCCTAGTCAGCATGCTCTCAAGAGCTCTCAAGCATTTTAGAATAAAAAATTAACAAATTAAGCCTTGGGAGCCACTTCTTTTTTTATGGAGCTCCAACAAGCTCCTAGTTAGGAGCTTCAACAATATCAAAAAAACCCCTCTTCTATTTTAATATTTTACCCATTACTTTTAATTATATTTAAACCTCTTGTATTTTATTTCTAACCGTTGGATACGGCCTTCGAGGGAGCGCACACGGTCTTCGAGGCAACCCACGGTCTTCGAGGGAGCGCACACGGTCTTCGAGGTTGGGCACAAAGTTCGAGGTATCGCAAACTTTGACCGTCAACCGACTGTTTCCTATAAAATTTGATGGCTTCTCTCCTCAACTCATCATCTCCCAAAATAAAATGTCTAGCTCATCTAGCTCTAGCGATGATGAAATGATGAAGACGTTCTTTCTTATGGGAGCTGCTGTTGTTGAGGAAGAAGAACAAGAGAAATGTTCAACTTCAGTTCAACACAAACGACGTATCGTGCTCCATCGAAACCGACTGGAAGGCCACAATCGGTTGTTCCAAGATTATTTTGCTGACGCACCAACCAATCCTCTTTATTATTTTCGTCAAAGGTTCAGAATGACGCGTTCATTATTTCTTCGAATCCACGACGCAGTCGTCGAACATGACAAGTACTTCGTCCAAAAGAGGAATGGTGCTGGACAGTTAGGACTATTTAGTCTTCAAAAGATTACTGCAGCTATGCGGATGCTCGCATATGGAGCATCCGCTGACTCCGTTGCCGACTACGTTCGGATCGGTAAAAGTACGTCGCTTGAGAGCGTGAAGAGATTCGTCCGATCGATTATCAACATCTTTGGAGAGGAATACCTTCGTGCACCGACTAATGAAGACGTTGCACGCCTGCTCGAGGAAGGCTCACAACGAGGTTTTCCTGGTATGCTTGGGAGCATCGACTGCATGCACTGGACATGGAAGAACTGTCCAACTGCCTGGCAATGTATGTATATTGGACATTTTCATAAACCTACAATTATTTTGGAGACCGTAGCTAGCAAAGATCTTTGGATATGGCATGCCTTCTTTGGACTGCCGGGGTCTCACAATGACCTTAATGTTCTACATCGTTCACCGATTTTCGCACAACTTGTGGAGGGAAGAGCTTCACCGTGCAACTATACTGTCATTGACCACGAGTATAATATGGGATACTATCTCGCCGATGGGATTTACCCAGAGTGGTCCATATTAGTGAAGACTATTCCAGCACCTCGAGGAAACAAGCATAAGTACTTTGCTCAACAACAAGAAAGCGCAAGAAAAGATGTTGAGCGAGCTTTTGGCGTGTTGCAAGCTCGATTTGCGATTGTTCGTGGACCAGGACGTTTCTGGCAACCTTGTGTGCTGAAAGATATCATGACAGCTTGTATCATAATGCATAACATGATCGTTGAAGATGAACGTGATTGTCAATTGGACAACAACTTCGACTTTACTGATTCGGTACCAGTCGTTAAACCTTCTCATTGCAGACGGTGCCTCTAACTGAGTTCATACAAAATCATCATCGGATCAGGAACACGCAAACACACAAATCACTAAAAAATGATTTGATCGAGCATCTGTGGCAGCTCAAGGGATCCATCGCCTTGGATTAAGGTTCTTCAAGTTGTTGTACTACGCCAATTTTAATTTCAATAAAGTAGTTGTTTTCATTCAATGCCAAATTTTTCAACTTCAAGTACAATCATAAATCTAATACAATATAATATTTGATAATCAGGAAGAACTAATGAGGATGCGATGCGAGTACAATATATGATAATTAGGAAGAACCCTTGGACATCCACCTCTCCAATATCTCTGCCTGACGCATTTCAAAGTATTGTCGTTGAACTGAATTGAGTGTTGAGAGATCGATCTTCATGATATCATCATCTTGTTTCTTCTGTTTTAGCTCCATTTTTTCTTTGTTGGTTTGCTTCATCCACGCGAAAGCCTCTCCCATAATGGACTTAGCGGACTCAGATTTGTCCACATTTTGTTTCCTCTTGAGTTTTGCTGCTTTCCTCCCTTCAGGCCTTGCTATAACATCATCCGAGTCAATGTTCAACTCGATGGGGGTCGCTGGCATGGAATTGTTTGGTGAGGAATCAGAGTTCGTGGTTCTTCTCGGCTGTGATCGAATCTTATTGTAAGTTTCCATTTGATGGATCCACTTTTGGTGATGACGCAACTCAACCCAGCAATGGTCAAACATGAATGGCTTACCATAAAGGGATTGGTATAATTCTTTTACTTCTGCAGTCTACACAAGAGTTAAATTTAGAATAATCAAACATATAATTTAAATATTTACATAAAAACATATAACTTAAATATTTACCTGGTCAATAATTCCCGTACCAGATCTTTGTCTTCCTTCAATCTGAGCAACGCACCCGCATAACTTGTTGACAGATAGTTGAATCGTTGACCAACGGTGCATCATTTGGTTTGGTGTGCGATTCGTTGGATCGGTAGAGTATTGGATAAAGTAGTCGTTAGCTCTGTGTCAAAACTTATCTTTATGTTGCCCCGTACCTTGGATGGCATCTTGGCTCGTGTTCAGCCAAGCAGACACAAGAAGCTTATCCTCGTGGACAGTCCAATTTTCGGACCGCGTGTAAACCTTCTTCTTCTTTGTGGTCGGTGTTTCTTGGGATGACACTTATTGTGTTGCGGATTGCGAGAACTCGATGGTATGACCTTCTTCTCCGACTTCTGTATAGAACGGCGAGTATAAGTTCGATCCTTCACCGGTAAGGAGATGCGAATAATAGTTTTGTGAGGGATCCATGAGATTTGTAATTTGATAGGGATATATAGAGTTTTTTTTATGAGAGAGTTGTGTGAAATATTTTGAGTAGTGAGATGTGAATTTATAGATGTTTTTTACAACAGTAAATTTTTCAACAGCATGATTTTCACAACGTCAATATTTCCACAACGTCAATATTTCCAACGGCATGATTCCACAACGTCAATATTTCCAACAGCATGATTTTCACAACGTTCGATTATCAACAAGAAAAAATTTCACAACTCAAATCTTCGACAGACGGTTAAAATCAAACAACGCACTCCATTAAAAAAATCAAAAACTCCTTCTCCCTTCGACAAACCCAACCCCAATTCTTCGACAGACCAAACCCCAAATCTTCCCCCTTCGCCACCATCGTTTCCGACCCAACCCCAGCTGCCCATCGCATAGTCTCCGAACGCCACCGCACAGTCACCCCAATCTTCGACAGACCCAATTCTTCGAACGCCACCGCAATCTTCGACAGACCCAATTCTTCGAACGCCACCGCACAATCTCCGATCCCACCCCGAACGCCATACCTCATCTCCGCGAAGGCCAGCGAACGCCCTCATCTCCGATTTCTGTCCGTTGAGGGGGGTTTTTGTAAATCCTCCCCCAGTTGGGAGCTCCCAAGCGCTCCACAAATTTGTGAAGCGCTTGGGAGCTCCGAAGCTCTCCACCGCCACGTCAGCGGTTGGGAGCTTGCTGGGAGCGCTTCGGAGGCTATTGGAGGGGTTAAATCAGAGAGCTTGGCCACGTCGGAGCTGAGAGCGGGCTTGGGAGCTTGCTGCCCATGCTCTTACCATAGCAAAATTCAAACTGAAAATGCCCTCATATTTGTGTCGAGCACACATCATGTGCACCAGAGTACTAGGGAGGTGCCATGAAACCAGAACCGATCCACGTGATCGTTCAACAAGATATGATAGGTCACACACACAGAAAGCACACTACAATTTTATTTACAGATAACTCTAATGAAAATAGATAGTCCGCATGAAAAAATAATAATAATAACCAGATCCATTTAATTCCATACTACAGCTATTCAGCTCAAAGGAGTATATAACAAAAAAAATTCTATCAAGCCCCACAAACTGCTCGTATCAGAGATAGCTAATTTCTAACTGCGATATCATCATGAGATCTGCAGTGTAGACCTAATAACATCTAAACGTACTTCATCAAATAAAACTACCAAGGTGAGCATTAGCTTAACAAGCCAATGTGAGCGGAAGAGTGTACCACAGACTCAAGTTAATTTCACAAATTTTCCTGGAAACATAGACAATAAGGAAGCTAAGGTAGTATTGACAACAATAATGCAGAAACACTGAGCAAGATAAAACAGACATAATCACGCGAGTAGGCCAAAACAATACAGAATGCAAACTCAATCAGAGTTCAAGTTCAACGAAGCAGTTCAAAACTTCCAATGTCGTATCAACTAACGACGATAAAGCCTTTATCCCAACTTTTAGGGTCTACAACATGAATCTACTCTTCCATTCAGTTCTGTTGAGGGCTATCTCATATGCTGAACTAATCATTATAAAACACTTCTTATAAGTTCTAATCAAATAAGATAAACGACTACAAGATGAACAATCACCTTAAGATTTCAGGATAAATGGAAGGGAGTAAAGCAAGCTCAAGTCAGATTTGAGTAAACTTTTGCTGGCAAGCTAGATGATAGAAGTAAACTAAGGTAGCATTAACAACAATGTGCAAAAACACTAAACAAGATAATTCTGACATAATGTGCAAGTCAAAGTAAGAAGCAGCTTCAAATAAGGCGCCAGTGATTAGGGAAAACATTGAGATGCACAAGCAACCAGAGTTCAACATGGATGAAACTGTTCAAATGCTACATCAAATATATGAAAGTTTCTATTTCTCACATTAACAAGGTTATAACAATGACAACCTAACTCATATGTAAGACTTGACAGGAAAAAATCATAAGTTAAATAAGAATGGTGATGCCAAAATTAATCATACTGTTTTCTCATCTTTATCAGCCTTCTTTCTACCAATTGGAGTTTGCAGCCAATAATAAATGCAACATGTAAATTGAAATGCGAAAAAAATTCAAAAGAAAACCATATCTGAGATGTGCAACATTATTCAATGTAAACTATCCTCCGATTCATGATTTGCAATCTGCATATCTCTTCAAAGAAAGCATCAGCAGCGTCATGAACACCCTTCATCCCGGAAATTCTAATAACCAGTTTCCTTAGCTTCTCACTGTACTTAACCAATGATTCAAGAGTGTTCAGCTTTTGCTCTGCATTCAACGGTGACCTTACTGTAACAAGAACCTCTTCCAAGCAAGGGATATTAAACCTCCAGTCCAGCTGCAATTTCAATCAAACCATTTAACTACACCAACAATAAACACAAGGCGAAAAAAAACTAATAAGCAAATATATCACGCACATTCTTCAGACTGTTCTTTTGACAAAGTGCAGCAAACATTGCCCCATGGATTTCAAAACTTCTCAGCTTTTGGTGACCATTGAAGAATTCAACCAAGTCAATTTCAGGGAAAGGTTGAAGGGCATCATAATCCCCACAAAACTCAATCTTCATAATGAGGTGCTTTACCTCACTTGCGCATCGAAGAAGGGACTCAATCGCATTCCAAGCCCATTGAATGCCTCTTATGCACAAATATTCAAGCACTGCTAGCCTTCCAATGTCTACTCTATACACTCTACCTGCACGAAAGAGAAAAATATGATGATAATATAATTATTGAATTTTACAAGTGGTTGAAAGCAATTCAAAAAATTTGTAATTTAATTGATTAACGTGGGATTGTGAATATTTCACTGTTCAAAACAACAAAAAGAACAAACTCATCATCGGGCGATGTTCCTGTGGCTAAATGTTGATCATTTTTTATATAAATAACAGCAAGTTGATAGTCTTTGTAAATAAATGTAAGAAATGTTCCCCCCTCACACAAAAAGATTCTTCTTGAATTGATGATCTACCTGAGTTTTTTCCAATTGACAGTCGTTCCAACCGATGATTCTTATCGACGCGAATCCAACTGAAACCTTGCACATCAAGAACCCTAATCCTCGGTGACCTAATAATGAGCGAAGCCCCCGGCCCAAGAAAATCCAGCCTGCACCTCTCCAAGCTCTCTGTCTCAATCACAACTGATTCAACCCCGTCGCACCCTAACAACGCCAAATCAGTCAAATTAGGACAAGCTTTGAGAGCAGCACTCAAAGCATCATCATTCAACGCTGCACCAACAATCTCCAAAGTGTGCAGCTTCATAAAATCTCCCCAGTTCGGCGACTTCGTCATCGAAACCCCCCAGAGTTTCAGAACCTCCAATCCTTTCACTAGCCCTATACAGTCAAGAGCATTTCGGGTTTCGGGCTTATCGTCAGAATCCATGTTCGGGTCCATTCGAAGCTCGAGGATTCGAAGGGTCTGGCTACGGAGAGAGAGCCAGGACTGAAGGCTGGAGACAAAGAAGGGGCAGTAGATGATGAGCTCCTCGAGACGGGAAGCCGAAGAGATCATTCGGGTAATGGCGGCATCTGAGAACCGGGGATAGAATCGAAGGAGGAGCGAGGGAAGAAGAGGGAGGGGATGAAGGGGATGCAGTCCTTCCATTGCTTGGAGATGCAGCGGATGGACGCGATGTCTCGAGCGTTGTTAATTTGGGAGAGGATTTGTTGAACAATGGCATCGGGTACTGCGTCCATCGGTCCTGCCCCTGTTTCAGATTTTTCCATAAATTTGAGTTCAGTTTTCTAAAAAGAGACTCGATAATGCCCCCATAAAAAACACTAAAAATTACGAGGACAGATCATAAATGAGGACCGGACATGTGTTTGATGAAATGCCTGAATGATGAAGGCTAAGGAGCTGCCATTTTGAGTTAAAATATGAATCAAAAAACTTGAAAGAGAGAGAGAGAGAGAGAGAGAGAGAGAGAGAGAGAGAGAGAGAGAGAGACATATTGGGTAGAGAGAGAGAGAGAGCAAGGACGAACCTCGATCAATGGCGGTCGACAAAGGAGGAGGAGAGAGGGTGCGAGAGGGATGAGGATCGCCGCCGGCTGAGCTGCTCCTCACCGGGCTTATTAGGCTTTCAAACTCCTCTTTCAAGCCAACAGTCAATGAGGGGTAGAGCTTGAAGCAAGAAGACATTATAATACACTATATTATTATTATTATATTATTATAATGAGACAAGCAATTATAGGCCGTGATGCGTCGTATCTGGAAAAATTCTATATTATTTGTAGCGAGGGGGAAAGACGGAGAGAGAGAGAGAGGGTGCGCGCCTGTGTGTTCAATTTAAAATTGGAAAGTTTTGGGGCTTGGCCCGCTTGTTTTCACGTTTTGAAATTTCGGACCGTTCGCACTTCGAATTTTGAACTTTTGAAATTGAAATCATTAGTGTGCACCCCGCCCCCCCAAAGCATGACCCCCTACTTTTTTTAGCACTGTATTTTGAACTTGCATGTTTTTAATATATTTGATTTAATTATTTTATGTTTAAAATTAGAAATCATATATACTTCTCTATATTTAAAAATAATATAAGTTTTAATACATTTGATGTGGGAGCTGTTTGTTTGCCTAAAAAAAAGGGAAATCAAAGAAAAGGAAACATATTTCTAAGAGTGTGTTTAGTAACCAAAGTGTTTCTTTTTATAGTCTTTTTTTAAAAAACATCATACCATGATGTTTATTTTTTAAACATGTTTTCAAAACACCATTTTTAGTTATTATTTACATAACGGAGGCGGCGGCGCGGTCGCCGGTGGCCAGCGACGGCGACGACCGGACTACGTCATCGACGAGCGGCAGGCAAACGGTCAATGCGGTGCGGGCGGCTGGTCGGCGCGGCCGGCGGGGTAGCGTGGCGGCGGGCGCAACGGAGCGGGCGGCGGTACGGCCAACGGATAGCCGACGGCGGGCGGCGACGGCCAACGGATAGCGACGCGGCGGGCGTTGGACGGCCGACGGGCAGCTGCGGGGCTGGCGACGGCGCGCGACGGCGGGCGGGTGGCGGCGGGCGGCGGCAGACGCACCGACGAGCAGCGGTGTGAGCGGACGATGGGCAGGGCGGGGTGGCGGCATGCGGCGGGTAGTGGCCGGCGGGCGGTCGCGAGCAGCGGCGCGGCGACGACGGACAGCCGACCAGCCAGCGGCTTAGATAAAAAAACGGGGCAGCGGGCGGGCGGCAACGGCGCCGATGGGCAGCGGCGGGCTAGTGGCGGACAGCAGCGCGCGGGGGCGATGGCGGCGGGGGCAGCGATGGCGACGAGCAGCGACGAGCAAGCGGTGCGACAGACATGCGTCTCGGCTTAGATGAAAAAACGAAATCTCAAAACACATTTTTGGTGTTTTAAGAAAAGCGTTTATTTTTTGGATTTTGTAAAGGGTCAAGTCAAAAAATCGTCCCGGTTGCCAAACACATTTCATTGTTTTTTTGAAAAAAAAACGAAAACGACAAAAACGCCATGGTTGCCAAACGCTCCCAAATAAGAAAAATAGTTTTGGGATTATTTGGTTGGCTAAAAAAAAAGGAAATCAAAGAAATGGAGATGAGATGAGATGAGTTGTTACCTTATTATAGGATGATGTGAGTGATTTTTTAAGAAAACTTGTTTTGATGTTGTTTGGTTGGCGGAAAAAATAAGGAAATGAATTATAAGAAACATATTTCTTGTAATAAGTTATTTTCTTTTGTTTGGTTATTTCTTAAAAATAAGAAAATAGATGAGATGAGATGAGTTGTCATTATATTATTGGATGATGTGACCCACACTTAAGAAAATTGTTTTCCTAGCTTTTTAGGAGGAAAACAAAGAAATGAATTGTTAATGAGATGAGATAAGTTGTCACAATCTTATTGGATGATGTGAGTGACTTTTAAATATGAGATGAGATGAGTTGAGTGATGTTGTGGATGAAAATAATATTTTATTAGATGTGGTGGATGTGATGGATGAGTTGTTGGATAAAAATAATATTTTATTAGATGTGATGGATGAATAGTTGGATAAAAATAATATTTTATTAGATGTTATGGGTGAGTTTTAGGGATGAAAATGTGTGAAATTGTACTTTTTAAGATTTCTTGATTTTCATTTCTATTTTTTGGTTTTTTAGGAAATAACCAAACAGGCCCTTAGAAATCATATCTACTCCTCTATACCTAAGGGGGTGTTTGTTTCAAATCTTATAATTTTAGGATATGGATTCATCATGGGATTTAAAATTCATAGGTGTTTTGTTATGGGTTACAATTTCTAAAATGTTGTTTGTTACATTAATATTTTGGGATTTGGGATACTACGATTTGTAATATTTTATTTGTTTCAAACTCAAATTGTGGCATTACCAAATGCCAAAATTGTGTAATATGATGAATATGTTGGGTTCGATTAATCCAACGAACCTGTGTGACCCAACCTACTCGTTCTTGGATTTGATTTAAAGTCGTCATCGATTCAAGTTAGGATCAGGATACTAACCACATGGTCTGGTTAGATAGTTTCATGTTTATCAAGTTGGATGGTTATATTGAATATCTAAAGGATAGGATCGATCGGAGTGTAATCCCACGGTTGTGATTAAACCATAATAGGTAGGGTTAATCACAAATATCTATTTAAAGGTGGGAGTCCCTCCTCTCAACCGTACGCAGAAAAGAGACCAAATTCCCATCGTTGGCTACGGGAGGAGAGAGGAGATGACTTCCATTATTTTTTCGTCAGTAAATGGTAATTTAGATCTTTTTTTTTTGGTTCAACTATTCATGCCTAGATCGTTAAATTATCCAACAATGGTATCGGAGCACAGTTTGTGTATGAATTTTTGATCTAGAATTAAAGTTTTTATTTTTGGATGTAAAAAATCAAAGTTCATGGGATAGTTGTGCGGTTGATTTTTTAACCATGGCCGCATGGGATCTATTGAGATCTACTGCTTTTATCAATCCATGAAAGAAGCATCGGGTAGCATGGGTTCTGCGGGCATACAAAACAGCAAGCATCAGGTAGCCATGGCCATGATATTTTTTTAAGTCCCGTGGCCATTGAAAACAGCAAAAAGGATTCCACATCATATATATATATATAACTATCTTCCATTGTGAACGCATAGAACGGCGCGGCGGGGATGCGGCCATGGCCATGGCCATGGCTGCTTCCCGCGGCCATGGCTGCTCCTCGCGGGGATACGACAAGGTCGCGGTGATCGTGGCGCTCTCGTCAAGTTCTACGCCCTGCGGCGGGGATGCGACCGGCAGCGCGGAGGGCGGGGCGAGGCGGCGGCGCGGTGATGCGGCGGCGAATGATCGGGTCTGTAGGTAGTTGATGTGCAACTGGCGTCGACAGTGTTGCTGCTTCTTGAGTCGGGTGGGATTAGGATTAGGGTTTTAATTAATTTAATTAATAAACAATTAGATTAATTAGTAAATAATTAATTACTTTTATTATTTTTGAGTTATATAACTCCATAACTCATTAAGCCAAACCCGATCCAATATGTAATAGACCCGACCCACTACAGTAATAGATTGGATCCATTAAAATTCCAACTCAACCCATTATGAAATGGGTCAGACTCATTAATTTCCAGACCCGACCCATTACAGTTTTGACCACTCATTTTGTTTTGGTCGTTACAGATCCGTTTTAAGTCCGATTTGAGCCCATAAATAGTCATTGGAAAGATCATTTTGTGTACTTTTCAACTATACAGTTTTTATTTTCATTTTATAAAGTTTTAATACAGAAATTTAGATAATTCATAAAGATTATTGTATGCACATAAAGATAATTGATTTACCCTAATTACATCCTTAATTCATGTGGGGTAAATTTTTGGGTTCATGAGAAAACGAAATATAGTATTAGATCAACCTATGGGGTTAAGAAAGATTAGTAAAACAGTTACTTAGAAATTATGATAGAGTAGGTTAGTGTCTTGCCCAAAGGTCACTAACCTATAATACTCTAATTTTCTAAGGTTGAGTTTAGTCTCATTTGGGCTGGAAGGTTACACTTACCTGTGGGTGGACTACTAGTCTTGCCCAAAGGTGTCTAGGAAATCCCCTACAGAATTAGTGATGCAGGATAGTTGAAATAGGTCAGTGAGAGGAGAATAACCCTATTGCCCAAAGGTTAGGAAGTGTTCAAATCAAACTGACGCTGTGTAGGCTAGTCCTGTAAGTGATTATATATCATATTTGGGGGGCGAATATCATGTCAAATCACTTGCCCAAAGATGTGATGAGATGATGCAACCGCCTGTCTCACAGAGTGGAAGGTTGCATACGTAAAACACTCTGTTCCATCCATTCTAACCCTAAATTGGATGTGAAAGTATTAAAGGTAATAAAATTAAAGGTCTTATTTTTTTTACATCCATGGTTTAATTCAGATGGATGGACAGTTTATCTAGAAGTATCTGACTGGGATTGAGCCTCTCACAGGTGCTAACCATGGCAAGCTTGGACCAAATAAGACAGGAAAGAAATCCTTCAAGAATCAAGGGCACAATAAGGGGAAGAAGTCTTTCGACAATCTTTCAACTATTTCTAGCACTTCTTCAGCAAGAGAAAAGGTTGAATGTTTTTTCTGCAAGAAACTTGGTCATATGAAAAGAGATTGTCTGAAGTATAAGAAGTGGCTGAAGAAGAAGGGCGGTATGGATTTAGTTCATGTTTGTTGTGAAACAAAATTAGTTGATGTTCCTTCAAATTCTTGGTGGATTGATTTTGGTGCCTCTGTACACATTTCAACTTCATTACAAGGAATAATCCATAGTCGGGAGGCAAGGGCAAATGAGCAGTTGTTTTTGGAAAACTCACAGGCTTTGGAGGTGGAGCTCATTGGGACTTTCAGTCTGTGCTTGGATTCTAGATTTTTCTTAGTTTTATCAGACACTTTCTACATACCTTCTATGAGAATGAATCTTATTTTAGTTTCTACTCTTTCTGGATCTGGTTATAGCTTTATTTTCGAGAATAATTCTGTCTCTATTAGAAATGGTTTGGATGTTATCGGACATGGTTTCTTAATTAACGGTCTTTATAGATTAAATCTGGATGCATCTTTTCCTTCCCCTCTCTGTATGTCTGTGAATTCATCTTCTTCTGATACAATGCGTCCTAGGCTTAATAGCAATTCTTCCATACTTTGGCATCGGAGATTGGGACATATTTTAATAAAGTGATTGGAATCCTTAGTAAAGTTTGGTGTTCTTAAATAGTTAGATTTCTCTAATTTTGGTACATGTG